ACCCCAGTCAGCTTCGACGCCGGCCACGACAGGGCCACAGCGTCTCCAGTAGTTGTGGGAGCCACGCCCACCGCTCATGGAAGGGCGATGACGTCAACGCAAGGATTCTCGCCACGCTCCTCGACCTCGAAGCACGGATGACGCAGATGGAGGCCTCGCAAGTGAAGCGAGACGAGGACGAGCGTATGCTCGGAGCAATTGAGTCTGGCATGTTCCATTCCGCCCTTGGCAACGGCCGAGGGGGTGCTCGATGCACATCGACGCGCTAAGTCATTCGCCCGTGCAGCAAAGGGATGGCCAAGGCCGCGCATACATGCAGCGTACGCACTACACGGTCGGAATGTGGCGTTTAGCGCGGCGAAGTGCCGCAGCAAACCCGGTTCCGTTCACCACAGTTCGCAGCGGCACAGGACTACGCGCGACGAATGGAGCCGGTCGCACAGCAAGCGATGCGCGTACCAGATGAGCGGCAGCGCAGACTCACCATTCGCAAGTCTGACGGAACGGAGCTGTACCGAGGTCTGGGCTCCGGGTTTCTGGATTGGGGTCAGACGTTCATGCGTCAGATTCAGTACGCACAAGCAGCTTGTGCTTTTGGCTGGTCAGATGACTTGAAGGCTGACTTGCTTGGTCACTACATGAGTGGCACGGCCGAGCGGTACAACAACAAGCAGGTTAAGACAGGTTAAGACTTGGTGGCGCCAGCTCCCAACGCTGGACCATGTTATGGAGCGACTACACCAGACGTTCAAGACGACGATCTCTGCGGCACAGTCAATGAGACTGTTCACGGCGAAGAAAGACGCCAATAGGATCTGGACCGAGAACTACCTGTACTTGGTGGAAGTGAGCGACACGTGCGGAGGGGCTGACGCGCAAGTGCTTGACAACATCGTCCACTATGCGTCGAGTGAGCTGTGCACGGTAATCATGGCAAAGTATGATGCCAGGCGTCTCAATTTCCTCGTTCAAGCGGCAGAGCTCGCGCATTTCGCAGAGTCTGTTGGGATTTATACGAGGGGTCCTGCTTCGTTTGGAAAGACGTCGTTGCGAATATTGTCGAGAGCAAACCACGCGTCGAGACACGAGCGTGCTTTGGATGCGGCAAGGTTGGCCACATTTTGGCTGCTTGTCCCGATGAGAAGAAGAAAAGGCATGATGGTGCCTAGGGTGGCTGGAAGAGAAACGTCAAAACGAAGAACGTTGTACACTACACCTTGTGCGTACAAGAAAGCAACACTCAAGAGAAGGTTTGGATCTTGAACAGAGGGTCGAGCCGGCATCTCGTGAACGACGCAGCGCTACTCAAAGATGCTCGAGAATGTTACGATTAGTGTTTGGTAGCCGATGGCAAGAGGCTTCAGCTGACGCTGGTCGGTAGCGTGCTACTGCGGGTAATGGCGCTTCGCAAGCCGAGCATAGTTCGCTTAACGGACGTCTACTACGCACCAATGCTAGCCCACAATATATTGTCGTACGGCAAGCTGAGTTCAAGGGATGCAAGCTCGCTTACGCAAACGATTAGATCGCTCAACACCGGCGACGTCGTCTTTGATGTGGCAATGCGGAACAATGTACTTGTTGCAGAAGTGCAAGCCAAACGAGACGGCATTTGCAGGGCTGGCTCTATCGTGGCATCGATTGCTAAGGTGAAGGAGCGCAGAGAAAACGAGCAGCGTGGAACACTAATGCATTTCCATCAGCGTTCCGGGCACCTATCGTACGACACAATCGAGAGGATGGCGCTCGAGCCCGGCTTTGGAATTCAGCTCACGGACTGTCGACACATGGTGTGCGTCACGTGCGCCCAGAGTAAGCAAACCAAGAACGCGCAGTCAAAGAAAAATACGAATGTGCACTCTTCGATCGATCGCATCGGCGGTGTGATTCCTCAGACCTTAAGGGACCGATGACGCCAAGGGATCGCTTTGGAAATCGGTACCTCGTTAACTTTGTCGATCACAAGAGCAACTACTGCCGCGTATTTCTGGCACGCACCAAGGACCAAGCGGCGAAAAGGTTCAAGAAAATCTTAGTGTTCTTTGTGAAGTGCTTCGACTGTCGCATTTATGTGCTACGCACAGATGGGGGGGGTGAATATCGGAACGTTGATTTGTTCTGCAAGTCCACCGGCGTGTCACGGCAGGTGAGCGAAGCAAGAAATCAAGAAATCAAATGGCAAGGCAGGGCGCATGCACCGGACGGTTCTAAACATGGCCCGCTATATGACTTTTGCAAGCAAGCTTCCGCTGAATTTCTGGGGGGGGGCGGTGGAATAGTCAGCGTACATACTGAATCGCAGTCCCACAAGCTCGAAGGTCAACCAAGCATCACCAATCGAGGTGCTAACAAGTCAAGCACCCGATCTTCATGATCTCGTTACTTTTGATTCGGTGTGCACAGTGTGCCGTGACCCGAAAAAAAACTCCTTTGCATATCGGGCGCGGATTGGTATCATCGTGGGTCGCAGCGACGAGACCAAAGGATATCGTGTGTTCATACGCACGGCCAATGTCGTGATCGCGACCCAACACGTCAAGAATATTAAGGCACCCTCTGACAAGCACAGCGAGCAGCTACTTTATGAAGCAGGAGCTGAGGAGGAGACATCTTCGATTGTCCCCAGCGTAGCTGAAACAAAGTGGACGGCTAATCAGAAATCATGGGTACGTGCATCCCATGCCACACGGGGGCTGCCAAGCGAGCGGCATAAGACAGTAAACACGTGATAAATGATGTACCAGCTGTGATGCAAGTTTACGAGGCTGATCCCAAGACACACGCTGAGGCAATGTGCAGCACGAAAGCTGAAGGATGGAGAAAAGAAATGCTCGAGGAGTCTCTCGCTCTGCAAAACAATGGTGTATGGAATGTGATCAAGCGACCGGATGGGGCCAACATGCTGCACAGTAAGTGGGTATTCAAGACCAAAAATGATGCGAATGGCGCAATGGAGCGTCTCAAGGCGCGGCTAGTTGCGTGTGGGAACAAGCAAGTTTTCCGCATCGATTATGCGCTCACCTTCGCTGCGGTCATGGATGTGTAGAGGTAATCCTAGACCTTGCAGCGACGTGGGGGGGTGCCGGCAAAGCAATGGTGACATTCCGAACGCCTACGTCAAGGCCGACAAGGAAAAGGACCTTGAGATTCTGCTCCATGTGCCTAGCAGTAGGGACATCAAGGATGAACAACTAAAAAAGCTTGGTGCGACCAACGCAACCGAAGTCGCGCTTGAGCTAAAGAAGAGCCTGTATGGACTGAAACAGGCAGGACGATTATGGAGTCAATTGCTACACGCAAGACTCACTGACGCAGGATTCA